TTAATCGATTCTTTAAGGAGTTTCAGCTCTCACACTAGAGACTTCAACTTCTGGTGTCTTTCACACAATGAGTTGTTGAGATGTTGTTTCATTAAGGTAACGTGGTGTGAGCAGTGGTGGGATGTAACTAAGTACAAGTACTTTGTTACTGTACTTAAGTACATTTTTCATGTATCTGTACTTTACTTAAGTAGACCAACAAAGTCCATGCTCAATAATCCAGGTATGCAATCCAACAATTTTCAGTTAGGTCATTTGCACAGTTTCTGTCCAGATGACCTGACTGAAAATTGTTGGATTGTATACCTGGATTATTGAGCATGGACTTTGTTGGTTTTGAACCAGTTTGACATGACTGTCGATGAGGAAGATGGCCGACACCGGAGGAGGGGGCGTGCCAAAGAGACCATATTAGCACCAACAAAACTGGTTTGTTCCACTTTGGAGTAAGCTGTTTGGGGGGAAGAATCAGTTTTGTGTTGTGTGTTTCCTTGACTGATGAAGCCTTCTGGATGGAAGGTGAAACGTTTCAGCAAAAAAAGAAACTGTCCAGATGACCTGACTGAAAATTGTTGGATTACTTAAGTAGATGGGTACTTTCAACTTTTACTCCACTACATTTTACATTAACTATTTATACTACACTACATTTCTATAATGCGTTGCGTTTCAAGTTACATTCACGTTGCAGTTTTTTAAAATTTGTTTGTTACTTTGAAAGTAACCAATGGTGAGAGGAGAGTTGGTCCATTGAATCACTGCAAAGTGGTCAGGTAACGTTAGACCAGCCTTCAAGAAGAGCTGGGCCAATGTATGTACGTCACTGAGCTGGGTGCACCCACAGCACCGCTAACACACCCAAAATGGATTCCACCACGGAGAGTCAGCCAGAAGATACGCACCACCCATGGCCTTAATGAAAGACTATTGAAAGATTATTGAAAGACTATTGAAAGATTATTGAAAGATTATTGAAAGATTATTGAAAGACTATTGAAAGATTATTGAATGACTATTTAAAGACTGTTCAGTATAGCAGGACAGATTCTCTCTCCCAAAAGAGCCAGACTGAACTCAAAAAACTTTGAAAACCAACTTCTTCTGAACTCGAACAAGAAATTCTTGCTGCAATATTAAAATGTGTCAGTTCATGGGATGTTAGGAGACGAGAGATGTCTCCAAATGGCTCGACACTCGGGTCCAAGTTAACTCTGAAATGATCATTCAGCCCCCAGTGTTTCTCATCACCACTGAGGAGCTGACATCCCAGTTCAACTCTGTCTGCTTAAAGACTCTGGATCATGTCGCTCCTGTTAAAACTAGAAAGTCAAAACTTAGAGCAGAACCTTGGCTGAGTGACGTCACCAAGGCCGTTAGGCAGCAATGTAGGAGGGCGGAGCTCAAGTGGAGGAAAGACAAGCTGCAGGTCTCTTTCCAAATACTTAGAGAGTTGGCGCCGTTATCAGAAAACGGTAAAAGCTGCTAAATCAAAATTCTTCTCTGATATAATTACCTCAAACTCTCACAACCCACGTGTCCTCTTCTCCACCCTAAACTCTGTTCTCCACCTCACTGAACCATCACCTCTGGAAGCCTCGACTGAGCTGTGTGAGAACTTCTTACTTTTCTTTTTGGAAAAAATTGCGACCACCCAGGCTCTCATTTCCCCTCCAACTCATGACCCATCCATCCCACCTCAATCTGTAGCTCTATTTGACCATTTTGAACCCATCACTCTTATCTTCTCTAGAGCAGGTCATGTGCAGCTTGAAACCTTCTGGCTCCCTCTTTGATGTGGTCCCCCCTCGACTACTAAAGGAGGTTTTTCCCACTCTAGGTCCGTCCATTCTTGCTATTGTAAATAGCAGTTTATCCACTGGCGTGGTGCCAAAATCCTTTAAACATGCTGCTGTCCAGCCTCTCCTGAAAAAAACAAACCTTGACCCCTCAGTCATTTCCAACTTCCGGCCTGTCTCCAGACTCCCATTTGTTTCTAAAGTACTGGAGAAAATAGTCGAGTCCCAGTTGAAGTGCTTCCTGGAGGGTCACGCCATCTTAGAGCTTTTCCAATCTGGCTTTAAACCTCTCCACAGCACTGAAACTGCCCTACTGAAGGTTTTTAATTACATTTTCTTAACCACTGATACCAGTGATTCTGTGCTGCTTGTCCTGTTGGACCTCACAGCCGCCTTTGACACCATCGACCATGAGATCCTCATTGCTAGGTTGGAGCAGTGGGTGGGCATCACAGGGTCAGCCCTCAATTGGTTCAGATCTTACCTCACTGACAGATCCTTTTGTGTCTCCATCAAGGATTTTAGTTCTGCAGCGACAGAGCTTAAATGGGGGGTTCCGCAGGGGTCCATCCTGGGTCCCCTCCTATTCTCTTTATACCTGCTGCCGCTTGGTGCTATTTTCTGTAAACACAACATGCCCTTCTACTTCTATGCCGATGACTGTCAAATTTACTTCCCCCTAAGACACAATGGTACATGCTCTATTCAACCGCTGCTCGACTGCCTGGCTGACATCAGGGACTGGATGGCTTTAAACTTCTTAAGTTTCAATGAAAAGAAGTCTGAAGTCATGATGTTCCCTCCCAATGACACGATCACAAACCACTGCATCGACCTTTCCACTCTAACCCTGTCGGAAAAACGAGTCACTAATCTGGGAGTGATAATGGACCCTTCCCTGAAACTTAACAGTCATGTAAATCATGTTTCTTCCAACTGAGGCGGCTGTCTAAACTGAAGCCCATATTGTCCAAAAATAACCTGGAGGCAGTAATACATGCATTCATTACATCTAGACTTGATTACTGCAATTCACTCCTGTTTGGTATCAGTCAAACCTCCATTGTACGACTACAACTGGTCCAGAATGCAGCAGCCCGATTTTTAACCAGTACAGGCAAAAGAGAGCACATTACACCAGTTTTGGCCTCACTGCACTGGTTATTGGTTCATCTTCGAATCCATTTCAAAATACTCCTGTATGTCTACAAATCGCTGAACAGTTTCGCGC